GCTGATACCATCGGGCAGAACTGAGTACGACGACGCAAACATTTATCACTCACACACACACGCGTGCACAAGTGCACACAAACACACATGCACACTAACGACAGACAAGAGTTCACACACCCACACGTGGAGACATGACTGGGGAGTATTTGCCACAGTCATCACAGCAGTATTTCTAGATCAATCAACTTTTTATAAATACAATTTAAAGGTGTAACACTCGTAGAGGCAAACGCACGCACACACACACACACACACACACACACACACACACACACACACACACACACACCTACAGACCCACTCCAAAACACCCGCCTTCCGATTGCAGCGCCACTGGCCCAGCTCACAACAGCATCAGACAGACAGCGTCGATGTCTTTGGCGGCGTACAGGTGCAGACCTGTCAGCTCTAGTCAACCTATTTCACCATTTAAACCCTCATGTCTCTCTGTGACAGCAGAGAAAACACGCAGAGTGGAGATCAAAACCCGAGAAGGCTTTTGACAGAGACAACCTAATGTAAGGGATGGTGTCAGTGTGCAGAGCATTTACAGCCATCGGCCCTTTAAACATTGTCAGGGGAGTGTTTGAGGCCAGTTTAAGAACATGTTCTCTGGATTTATTCAGTTATTCAGCTTAATACACAAATATTTTGTCTCTTTTCAAGGAAAATGTCATGGAATGAAACTCCTTGAAATATACCAAAACCTTGAGCGTAGGCTGTGTTTTTTCCTTTGGTGCCTTTAGCATGGAAATATAATTCTATCTGTCCAGTGTGTAATGTAGGAGGGGCTCCCTCTAATGTCTACTCTTAGTCATCACACCAAGCAGAAACTAAAATTTAAGCACTACAACATATTGTATCATGATATTTTGTACAAACATTAATGGTCCTTGGAGGATAGATCCTGTCAAGCACCACCGGGAGGTTCAAATTTCTGTTTTTGAGTAAAATGTTGTGTCAACTACGTGTTCGTGTTTTTCAGCAACATCCACGTGTCAAAATATAAACAACAGTTTGGTTTGTGCCCAAATTCCTGCAACAGTAATGGACATCATTTCTCAGTACATGAATCCGTGCGAACACGCTTAACCAACGAGGTGGGAATGAACATTATACCTGATAAGCATCAACATGTTTGCAGGTTGACATTGAGTGTTGTTGCTTTGCGTGTGTGTGTATCCTTCCTTCTTATTTGTACTGCGGAGCTTGTGTGTGCAATGTTCTGTTGTGTAGTTAATAATCCCTTTGGATTTTGTTGTTTTTAAATGTGAATTCAAAAACACATTTGGATTCTAATTTATTTGTGTCCTGTCCTGCGTTAAGATCAATGCTAATAGATAAGAGAAACTGTACAATTTTGCAAAAGGTTTGATTAGGATTAAAAACAATACATCGGAGGACAGTTTTATTGAGATGGCAGAGGCGATTGCTCGCCGCTAACGGTGCGAACACCACAGACTGTTCAAACATCTGCAACAGTGTTGACGGAACTCACGGTGTTTACTTAGGGGGGAACTCGAGAGTGGGTGCTAAGCTTAACGATGACCCCGGGCGGTTGGAGTTACGTTATCAGCGACCACAATCGGCGTTTAATTAGAAATAATGCATCAAATTACAACACCTGGACCTGTGATACAGAACAGACAAAAACCTCAGACCCTCCAGGTGAGGTAGAGCTCCTACCAGCTTGTGATGGATTGCTTTGCTTGACACCATGACAAACGACCTGCTTGGGCCCACTATTGTCCCACACAAACACACACAGGGGAACACCTCCATTTGTTTCGCCAACACCCCATCCTCTCCACCCAGCCAGCCCCACCTTCCTTTTGCCTCTCATCCCTTTACCTCATCCCCCATCGGCCGCTGCTCTTTCCTTTCTTCATTTCTTTGCTTTGTACTGTGAGATGCGGAGAGGAAGAGAGGGAAGGGGGAGGCATGGAAGGAAGGAGAGGGACCTTTTGTTGTCGGCTTTCAGGTGGTTTTCACACGGAGAGCCAAAGTACACACCTTGGTTGCCGCCACTCGCGGGCCCACGGGTTCCCACTTGCTTCGGCTGAGTATACAAATACAGACAAGGGTACGTTTGCTAGCGCATGCCTCTGGAGACACGCAAGTGTGCAGAAATTAGCACGCACTCGATTGCTTGTTTTTATCCGGCTGGGATCGGAAGGGTTTGTGGTTTGATGTACAGAGCGGTACAGAGGTCATGTGAGGGGGACGGGGCAGGATGTGTGTGAGGAGGTGAGGTGGGGTGGGGTCCAGTGTGTGTGTGTGTTGGAGAGGTTGATTGCACGGATATTTTCTCGGCACTCCTCCTGAATGGGCTCTTCTTGCTGCAAGGAGCTCAGGTAGCCTGGTGTGTGTGTGTGTGTGTGTGTGTGTGTGTGTGTGTGTGTGTGTGTGTGTGTGTTTTATTCCCAGGTAGACCGTGGTGAGTGCTCTGAAGTTAGTGTCAGGTGTCAGGTAGCTACTTGTCTTTGTGTCTTCAAGGCTGCCGTTGCTTGGATAGTGTTTACAGCCGTGAGAGGGAGAGGGAGGATGGGGTGAGAGAGGGGTGGGAGCTACGGCTTTGATCCGATGCCAACTGTTTGATATTGTGTGTGAGCGAGGGAGTGAGTGTGAGAAAGAAGAAAAGAGAGGCGCACGCATACTTTTTCCAGTTGCATGAGCAGACGCTAATGACCGCTGGCGAGCCTTCCTGAAGTGTGCTGAAGAATTTGATTTTGACAGATTTCCTCCACAGTAGGCCACAGTAAAATAACAGTGTTTTTTTTTTGAAGCACCTATCCGGTTTACTGTCATTTAAACATTTTTTCACTTTACACAGATTACTGCTGTTGAGGGATCGGTAGCAGCTTCGCTCAAAAATACCAAGCAAGTGCAGCGGTTCAAACGTCTTTAGAGACGCTTTTTTTACAGGCAGCAGAACAGATACAATTTGCACGTTTTACAGTGCGTGTGTGTTTTAGGGCTTCCCCAGGGCCAGGCAATTAAAGAGCATTTAAAAAGATGACAGAGCTCTTTGCACAATAAGGTGTAAGGTGCTGAGCCCGGGGAGCGTTGGCGGGTGTGTGAAGAGCACTTTATGTGCGTAAGCTTGTTGTTACTCCGAAGGGTCTGCTTATCGGCCTTTTTGGATCCGAGGTGGTGAAGGGAAACACCATGAAACATCACTTGGAAATCAATTCACGCCACATTTTCAAACCAACAATGGACAGAGAGAGCATCAACGCACATTCCACTACAAAGAGGGAGAAAAGCGAGAGCCGAGGGAGAGAGCATGAGAGAGAGACTATGTGAGGAACGGCTCTGAAAGAGTTTTTGTGGGGCCATAACAAAGGCCCCTCAGAAAACACAGTGGCATAGGAATGTTAATTAATTAATGAGAAACTATTCAGCCTACAGAGGATGGTGGAGAAAGAAAGACAGAGGAGATAGATGGACAGACCAGCTTGAGCGGTAGACAAATTCAACTGTAGTATTTAATCATTCTGGACCCAGTTTTTATGCAACTTTCAAGACCTGTTTAGGACAACAAAGACAACCTTGATTTCCGCATTGACTATCATGCATTTTACTGTTAATCCAAAGAGGGGTTGAAAAGAATCCATCAACTCTTTGAAGACCATGTAATAACTCTCTTAAAACTTGGACATCAGCAAAACGGGATTCATGAGGTGTTAATTAATGTTAACCTGTACTTTTCTCAAACATATTGGAATCATCAATAATTGAGCATTGCTATATTGTAATAGTATCTCCCTGTTTCCATTACTGAACTATTTTGCCAGGTTTACTTCCTTTGATCTGCTCGAATAATTGAATGCATCATTAGGTGGTTACGTAACATCCTGTTGTACAGCATGTAAAGCTTAGTTGTGTAACATATGAAGCCAAGAGTCTAATTTTACAGTATTCTTATCTGACTTTATATAGTACATATGTCTTGTCAATCAGGAAAAGAAAGCAGAGTCTATACAGCCAAGAATTTGGTGTTTGAGTGAAAGAAAGCGAGGTCGGAAGAGATTATTTTCAGGCTACTCAGGAGAAGTTGCAGGAAAACACACTGACTATAAAGTACAGATCGGCTTTAGCTTTAGGCAGCAGACGCAAATCCACACTCTTCTCTCTGCAGACCAACGTGTGTGTCGACAGGAAACTGATATGTGAACTTCTTTGCGGCGGTCACCCATAATCTTTTATTTTCTATGGGTGACCCATGTGCGTGTGTGTGGTTTTGCTCGTGTGCGATCACGACATTCCAGCAGCGGAAACCTGAGAAGGTGTGACTTACGAGACATTGGATTTGGCTCTTTCTGGGGACTGAGGGGTGCTGAAGTGTCAGAATTCCAATTTCCTCCAAACAGTTGGGAGTCACACACTCTCACCCTCTGCATCCCTCTCACGGAGCCAAACAGTCCGTCTTATCCTTACTTAGACTCACTTTTCATCCTTTCCCATCCAGCTATAAACACTCAATTCATTCACAATGTCCCACAAGAGGAAATCTCGCAGGCAAAGCCACCCTCCCCCCTTCATCGAACCAAACGCTCACTCTTTCTTATCACGTCGAGCTTTCAGGAAAAGTAAAACAAGGGGAAAGGAAGAGAGGGAGAAAGAGAGGGAAGAGTTTGAGGATGGCTCGTCCCTCCTACTTTACAGAGATGCTCCAGCCCATCCCTAAATTGCGAACCAATGAGGGTGGCTCATTCACAACTCATGCGCTCGTTCTACAATAGGTAAGGAGAGAGAGAGACAGAGAGAGAGAGAGAGAGAAAGAGAGAGAGAGAGAGAGAGCAAAATATATATACAAGGAGTGAGAGACAGAGAGGGGGAGAGAGGTACTGTGTTGGGGGGCAAAAAGAGAGACAAGGCACAGTGAGAGGGAAGCCCCGAGAACTTACAAGAACCCCAGGGGATGAAGTGGTGATTGAGACATTTAGAGAGAGATGAGGAGGTAGAAGCTGTGACAGGGACCGATTGGCAGCGTGGACGACCTCCACAGGAGCCCAGGAAACCAACAGACTATTGCACAGAGCCGGGGGGGGGGGGCGAGGACTTTGAAGAGCAAAGAAACATTGAAACCTCCTCACTTGATCAAAGCTGCCTCTTTGAAACATCACAGTGCCACCAGGCGGACATCTCTACAGGGGTTGAAGTTGAAGACAGGTGGACAGCCAGACATGCTGCTTGTGCTGGTGTTTTTATGTGTGGCTGGTGGGGTTTGGGGGTCCGCCCCCGGAGTGTGGGGGTACGGGTGGATCCAGGACAGACAGGGGCCGGCGGCGGCGGCGGCGTCGTGCCCGTTCCCGTGCCAGTGTGAAGAAGATGGGATCTTTGTCATGGTGGACTGCTCGGAGTTGGGACTATCATCTATACCGAGCAACCTCAGCCTTCTCACCACGTACCTGTGAGTACCACATGCTTCCAGTGTGGGACTTGTTATCTTGTCCCTTTTCCCTCCAACCCTTTCCAGCCGCCGGGCCGTTCTATCTGTCCTGGCCGTTGACTCGACCCTAATCATGCCATTACTGGTGTTTACACTCTTTGTTCAACTGCAAACGTTCCGTAGGAATTCCAAAAACTGCTAGGTGGGAAGGCAGCAGAATCTGCATGTGTGTGTTGACTACTATATGGCGAAATGACTGGACCACTTCTTTCAGTATCAGGTTTCTCTGCGCCAACTGGAGACCCAGCGTGAGTGTCGGTATGCATTTGTGTACATTTTTACAAGTGCGTTTGTGTGTGCGAGACTCAGATGTCTAAATGTGTCCAAATGTTGGCCATTTCATGTCAATTTTGTTTTTTTGTTTTTTTGCTCCATATAATTTGATACAAAAACGTTGTTGAAAACGGCAAATACCGTAAATTACTGTAGATACAATTTTTCTATTTGAGTATAATTATAATTTTTACATAACAATAAATATGACCACAAGGAGTTGCGGGTATTAGGCCCACATCAACAGCTGGGCGTTTTTTTTTTACGAGCAACACAATCACTTTTACAATTAAATCATGTAAAAGCCGTTTTGGGAATGTTTTCTTACCCAGCAGTGGCTTGAAGCCAAATCTTTCAAATATCTTCCCTGCGTAATCCTCTGAGGACAGATTAGAAACATTTTGTGATACCTGATATTGAAATGATACAAGTCAAAGCCAGAATGCAGGGTGCCATAGAGGGATCGCTCACTAGGGGCTCTACAAGTATTACACCAGTGGAAGAATTGCATTCAGATGGAGGGAGGAAAGATCCACAGTCTCATATAAGACGACTTGCACAATGCCCGACTCTCTGCCTGTGGGAGCCCGCGATGGCTTCGTTTGTACCGTATTCTTCATGAGATAAAAAACACATGTCGGGTTTATAGAAGTGAAAAACCATCCAGGAATCCCTCTACCCATGAGAACATCGGTGAGCTTGGCCCAACAGATATACACACACGCACACTCATTCCCTACAAACACAAGAGTAATTGCTCATTTCCCCCTCGTTACCTAACAGTGGAACTGGACCAATTAGTGAGTTTGAGGGCTGACTTAGAGTAAGATAAATAAACTCAGAGACCAACTGCACATGCCCACACGCACAGTGGCACCAGACCACTGACACACACACGCTCACACAACTTCAGAGGGTAAAAAAAAAAAGGGAATGTGGGACAGCATGAGAGATGCCGCAACAAATTAAGATAAGGGAATCACAGATTTCTCTTGTGCCTTGCTGATAAAAATCATCAAACAAAAACATAGAAGCCTCCCATTCCTTACCCAGCCCACAAGCTCTCTCATCCACACACACACACACACGCACACACCTACATGATCCGTCCTGGAGTATAAAAGGTCACAACAGCAGAGCGCCGGTCCAAACCCCTCCAGGGTCTGTCGTAGTGTCCAGCACGCCCTGCTGTGCTGTGGAGGCTGGATTAGCCCTTTAGCACATACTGTAGGCTGTCGAGGTCACAGGGATTTGCTTGGGAACAGTCCACATTATAAACCACATCCACACAATGCTGTGAAAGTGTATGACATCATTCACCCGTGTCACCCGAGATCTCTTCAAAGTGAGCTCAACTGCTCATAGTGGCCCGAGAGGGCAATCCAGGCTGTGCATGAATCACCCTACTCTGTAGCCGCTGTTTTCCTCTGCACATTTGGATGACCCCCACTTCATAAAGAAAGATGCTATTAATGTGAAACAAATGAAAGAAAAACAATTGCGTTTACCACACTGAGGCAAACACAGGTTGCCTCTGCAACGGTATGCAACTATTCAGAGGCTCAGAGCAGAGAGGGTAGAGATTTATGGCAACAATCGTTTCCGTGGGCCACTCGTGAAATGAGCTGTCATGTGAGACGCTTCGAGAGATCTCTTTGATATCAGGTAAAAGAAGAAAGAAGGCGCCCAAGTGGGTGTGTCTGTGTCAACGTGTGTCAACGCGTGTCAACGCGTGTTGAGTTTGAGAACTCTCCATGTAGCGTGTACATCGGGGGCCGCTGCTGTTTTGTGCGTGGATACAGTGAGTAGCTGTCCGTCACAAATGTCAGCTGTCCCTTTGATAGACATTTAGGCTGCACATGCAGCAATATTCAATCATGTTGTAAATAATTCACATGTGGAGTATACTGTAAATAGACCTTGTCTAAGGTTGTCAGGTGTACATGTGGACACATCTCACGTGTCCTTCAGCCGGCATCGGTGTGTGCGTGTTTTAAGAAAATAGAGTGTGTGTCTGACTGTTCTCCTTGTGCTTTGCGGCAGCGGCGAGCTTGGTGAACTTTTAACGGTGTTTTAGCAAAGGCCAAGAAACACATCTAGTTCATTACTAGTCAGAAGAACAGTAAGGCGTGTGTGCGTGCGTGCAAAGACCACCCAGACAGTTGAGGTTTGTTTTCTGGAAAGTGGAGGTAAAGCAAGTGTAACAGGATGGAGGAAGGGAAGATGAGGAAGAGGGGTGAAAATTGATGAGGAAAAAGGAGAGAATTACAAATTGATGACAAATGGGCATTTAAAGATTTTGACCGTAGGTTAAGCAAGTAGGCACATGCACAACTTACAGGCATGCACACACACACACACACACACACACACACACACACACACACACAGGGGACAACATCCTGCCCCTTTATGGTGGCTGTGACTATAACAGTTGTGTGCGTGTCGTTTAGCCATTATGTTGATGGAATGATTCCTATCACAAGCAACCGGGGTCACACTGTAAACATCGTGTCTGAGAGAGAGAGAGAGAGAGAGAGAGAGAGAGAGAGAGAGAGAGAGAGAGAGAGAGAGAGAGAGAGAGAGAGAGGGAGAATATGTAAGGAGAGAAAAGTTACCAAAATAAGAACATTTCTGGAAAAAAAGAGAACAGTGTGTGTGTGTGTGTGTGTGTGTGTGTGTGTGTGTGTGTGTGTGTGTGTGTGTGTGTACGGTCAGTGTAGGGTTCTCTATTTAGCAACTATCAGCTCCAGCATCAGTGTCCTGGCTCCAGACGTCTATGGCAGCAGCCCCCCCCCCTCCCCTGCCCCGCTTCAACTAAACTATACTGCCCTCCTTGTCCTTCTCTGTATCTGTCCTTTGTCCCCCCACCTATTCTCATTGGCTCACCTGTTCCTGCTGGGCCCTCTCCTTTAGATAGAACAATAATTTATACATTAAGTATGTGTGTGTGTGTGTGTGTGTTCCTCCAAAGCAGGTGTTGAAGCTGGTTATGCAGCCCGACATGTTCATGTTTAATTGAAGGACGTGTGATGTCCTTTCATAAAATCTGAATGAATGCATACAGCTAATGGCAGCGGATACAAGTCAAGGGTGTGTGTACGCAAGCGTGGTAAATGTTTTCAAGGTGTGTGTGTGTGTGTGTGTGTGAGAGAGAGTGTAATGCGCGTGCATGTCGGTGAAGGGAGAAGGTGCTTTGGCTACAAGCCAACTAACAGGCAGCTGTGATCGGCGTTCGGGAGGAGAGTCAAAGGAAATAATAAAAAGGAGGAGCGCATTAATATTAGCGATGGACAATGTAGATATTGTGTTATCGATATTGTATAAACGTCATGATTTGACACTGAATGTCGTCTTAGAATTTGGATAGTGAATTATAATGCATGACGAGTGTTCTGTTTTCCTGGTTTTAAGAATGCATCATAGTTGTGAGGTAATTTCTGGAATTAACTGTTCTAGACTTTCAATTCTGCCCTTAGGCATTGGTCATTAAATGTATTTATCAAAAATATGAATGGGTAAATAGTTTTGAAAGCACCACTGTACAAAAACTCTAAAATTATCGTAAAAATAGTGATATTAAAGTACTTGGTAAAAAAAAAGATTTTGATATTACATTTTCTACATATCACCCAGTCAGTAAGTGACATACTGTGTGACAAAGTTGATCTACTCAATCTATAAAATATTCCTTCCCTTACTACTTTGTTTCTTCCTTCCTTTCTGAAACTTGAAAAGTTTGCCTCAGGTGTCCGTTCCTCAGCTCTCTCTCAGGTTCCCTGGAGGCCCAGTGGTGAACAGAGAGGCAGAAAAAGCGATATTTACGGCAGCAGGGTGTCGGAGAGAAGGGACGGTCAGTTAGCGCTGGATAGTGCAGCGGTTTGTGGTTTCCTCAGAGCAAGTTGGGAGGGCTTTCAAATCTCGCCCAGGGACAGACGGCAGGTAGGCAGGTAGGCAGGTACGGGACAACAATGGAAACAATGGCAGATCCCTCAGGAGTGGCCGGCAGGGAAGACACAGGGGCCATAGTGTGCTCTGCCGCACCATATCCTGTCCTTTAGAAAAAAGAAGAAAGCAATCACGACACAAGATCTTAAAGGGAACTATGGAGGAGGCGGACATTGGGGAACTAAAGTGCGGAATGTGTTTGGAGAGCATACACAGAGTGCACGGCATGCATGTGGATTGACCACACTTGTGGGCTGGTATTGGTTGGGGACAGACTTGAGCCAACCAACTGCAAATGTAAATTTGTATTTTTTGCGCGACAGCAGCACGACACAAGTATGACACAGGACGTAGGAATGTGCTCGGTGTGATGGGTGGTTGAGGAGTGAAGGGCTGCTTCTGACTGAGAGGATTCAGAATGCCTGCAAAGCCCAGATTCCAACTCAGCCCCTTCCCAACCCTGGGGATCCATGGGAATGCTTGTGTGTGTGTGTGTGTGTGCAAGGGCACTGGCACAGAGAAGGCATTGTCCAATCCTGGGCCAGGCCCTGACAAATGTCCCTGACTGTTCAAGAGCGTGCACGTGCACATGTGGACATAGCTGTCTATGTCCCCATTGCTTTTCAATATGGTTCCGTCTGTCTCTATGATCGCTGGCCGGTGAAGTAATTCATGTTGGGCTGGCCGTGAGCAGGTGATGAGTAGTAAGGATTGATACTGATGCCAACAGCGTACACACA